GAGAGCAACGTCTCCTCCCTTTGATTGTGATATTACACCAACTCCTTTACTGCCCACCTGAGGAGACAAACATGAAAATAAGGAGCGATGAAAATGTACACTCAAGGCAAAACATCTCATGCCCTCCATACACTAGAAGACTTGAAAAATCCACAACTAATGTCTGACACCCTCTCAAATCTAAAAACAATGTTTCAGCAACTCAGAGTTTTAGACAGACTAAGATTTTGCAACGACAGGCATGCAGGGTCACTGAAAGACAACTATATTAACTTTTAAGATAACTTTGTGAAGGTGATAACATGGAACTTTGATGTATGGAGTGTCTCCTATGACGAACATTGAAAAGGTGTTAACATCTTCTCAGTAACGTCTCCATCGGGAGCTATTTGAGGGTAGAGTGAGAGTGGATTGTTAAACCCCCCCGAGGGTTTCGACATGTGGCAGACCCCCCCCCCCCCCCAATGTGCAGAGTGGACATGTGTAGGGAGAGGGTAGGGAGTGGTATGAGAAAGTCCCCAGGAGAACTGCACGTTGCTCACCTCCCATCATTTTTTATGTCACTATATTGCAGGGAAATTGTAAAAGCCTTTCTTAATAGTTTGTTATTTTTTCAAACCAACCAATTTATTTGCGACTCCACCGTGAAAATAATCTTACATAAATTCATGACTAACAAAAATGAGCATTTTTAATTGTATTATAGCTTAACATACAAAAATATCGAAAAGGCACGCACATCCAAGAAAGTTTAAGTACCGGATGCTGGACAAAAAACATCCAAAGATAGAAAAAGTCCACACACCAGAAGCTGCTCTAATTAAATTGAATGTAATGGATGAAGGGCGAGGGCCAGAAACGCAACATGTGATTTTTCCATTAAATTCAGTTTAATTGGAGCAGCTTCTGGTCTGCAGACTCAGTACTTTCTCTAATATAGCTTAACATGCCATCAGTTTTGTTATATTTTCCCAATTATATTCAAACACATATTATTACATAACATACCAATTAGTGCAGGTGTTTGATAAGTAAATGAATCTGGATCTTCTTTACCCTCACATGTTTTGTATAATCTTAGACAATTAAGTAATTTACAAAAGAGCATTTCATTCAAAATACCTTAGGATGTCGTCTTAAGAAATCAGCTGCTTCCTCATAATAGTCCAGATGGATCTCTTTGACGTTTGCCGGCTTATCATTGTACACAGCTACTGTCAGAACCACAAAGCCTTTGTTGGACAGCAGACTGGCTCTTTTCTCAGAAATTAATGTGCCGATATCCAACACAGCAGGGAACGGACCTTTTCCTGGACAATGAGATGTAAGAGTTAAAAGTGTAATGGCTCAGCATGAAGGCAAACTCCAACTTCCACCGACAAGGTAGGATGTGAAGACAGAGAGACTGAGGCCAAGTTTACATTGTTTAAAGCACAGACAAGAGTTATACCAGGCCAGAGCCGAAGACAGTCAGCTCAGACAAACAAATAAGAATAATGTGAAGAGCACGTGATGTGATGCAAAGCTGGAATATCTGACACAATCTGGTAAAAATACAGTTCATACAGACTTCTGAAACAATTTATTACATTTAATTTAGCAGATAACAATCAGGCTCCCTTGAGGTTTACCTGAATCTAAGCTTGACTTCAGCGATAGCTATATTTTGAAATGTGATTGTCCTTGCAGCAAAAAAATTCATTCAACTCACTGAAGTTATTATTATACATCACACTCACATAGCTTATGTGTGATTCCAGTAACATTTTACAATAGAAAGGTACACATCCTTTGCATAGTTACAAGGAAACTAATGAGTACTACTAGTTAATTATTAGTAAATGGGGATATAATGAGTTACTTTACATGGAATTGATCTATAGTGTAGCTTTTTATTACTTAATAGAGAATGAAATGAGGCATCATACTGGGTAGTTACTCAGTACTGAATCTTTGCCCTTCATGTCTTGGTACTGAACATCTGAAGGAGGGTCTGTGCATGAACTGCAGCTTCATGCCTCACACATTGAGTGCTGCTAGGCTGGCAGATGTGGAATCCCTGGCTAGTAATGTCGGCCTCTCTTGATCAGAGGTACTGGCTCCAGCCCAACCAGTGCAGTCTAGACGATGAGCGTCTGAGACTGTAGGTGCTCCCCCCAGGAAGAAGGCAAAGTCTGTCAAACTGTCTTCTAAGGTGGATCAGTTGACAAAGGAATTGGCTCAGATGAAGTCCATCCTCTCTCCACCCTAGTGTCTGCACAGTGTGCTAGCTTACACACTCTGCCTATGCCCGAGCTGGTCCCAGTGGAGTACATCATGTCACGGGAACATGGGTGTTTGATATCCACTCTGGTCCACACGGGACGTCAGGTGTGGCTTACTCAGACGCCTGTCAGAGACATGTCTGAGGACCCTCCATACTGTCCCTGTGGAGCCTGAGGACCTGTTAAGCTCAGCCGCTGTACAGGTACTGGAGCAGACAGTCGAAGCTGATAAGACCAGGCGGCAGTTCTCGGGTCTTTGCATCGGCATGCCAACCCCTAGCAGGCCAATCTTGGAATCCTTGAGACGTGAGAAGACTCACGTTTAAGTGAGGGACTAGAGAGAAGAAAAATAACAGCCTGTACTCACTGCTTATTTGGATGTCACATAAGGGTTTTTATATCATAGTCATTCCATGGAAATGAACATGCAACGTGCTGCTATGAGCTAACAAAAGAGCGCGACCATTAGCCTGCTAACACACAGTGCTGCTCAAGACAAGGACAATTTTTTCCGCCGCTTGGGCCTGGGGCTTAATTATAGTGGGCTCCAATTTGATAACTCCTTTGTGCAAATGCGAGGGGAGAGGGGTTGGAGGTGTATCGCTGAGAGCGGAGGATTCAGTGTGTTGGAGGTGTCTCCATGCTGGTGCTCAAGGGTGACATCTACTGGATCAAAAAGTCACACATTCTTATGAGGCCCAATGTTTGCACTCAGATAATAACTTTTCAATAACTATTTAACCACCTACCTGGGGGAGTAAACAGGACTCCCCGAATGTTCCCCTCTTTAACAGGGATCCTGCTGACCCCGTCTCCAATCAGAAGTCTCTCATTGGTCGCCTCTGCTAACATCCTGCCCTCTCCTTCTTCTTCATGCACAGAAAACCTCACCACATGGGGATTAAGAGAATTAGTTTTTTTGAAACCTTTTGTGCAAACGGTCTGCCTTCATGGACCACAGCAGACCCATGGGTTCAACCCCGATGTAGCTCCCGCTGAGCGACGGGTCTTTGTCCACGTCGATCTCTCCACTTCCATCAGCCCTATAGGTCGCCAAGGAGCTGAAGACCATCCCCCTCTCGTCAGTGGATCTGGCTCTCACGGTGACCACCTGTCTGGACCTCAGCCCGGCCACCTTCACCTGAACGGGATCATCGAACAAACACCTGGCGCTCGGCAGCAGCTTCAGTCTGACCTGAGAGGACATCTTTTCTTTATGTGAAGATTTCAGACTTCAATCTGTATGAAAGGAAATAAACAGAACACACACATCATATCATTTTAAAACAAAAACCATTCTCAATCAAGCATCGAGGTGTCACCTTGTGGAAATAATATTCTAATCTTATTGATCCATCTATGTTGTTGATTGTGTACAAAAAACTTGCAATAGAGACTCTTTGATTTATTGTTTGTCAAAGTTTTTTGCTTGTTTCTTTTTAACTTTCTTTTCTTTGCTTGTCAATATTAATTTCCTGCACTTTATGTGATGTCTGATAGTTACTTTTATTGTCCTTTTACATGTCTACTGAGTGGGATTTTCATAAAAAGCCATTTGTACAGTAAGCTTCTCCTGCACCCACACATGTGCTTTTATATTTTCTTTATGTTCCTAAGCCAGGTATTCCTGAATCCTGTGTGTGAATCAATCAATCAATAACCTAACAGTTGTGGAGTGAATATCCAGGCAGTCAAAGTTAAATATTTTCTGTTTCTCCCTCTTAACCATCTGAAGAGCAGCTGTGCGTAAGACTGTACACTCTATTGAAAATAGTCATGTTACAAGCACTTAAAAGCATCTCCTTCTCATGTTTCAATTATTTTTGTTCAATCTGTGAGGTTAAAACTTTTTTTATAGCTTGTGTTAATTTATTTGCACATCCCAGTTTTGCAATTCTGGATCTAGATGTCAAAATGAAAGCATTAAAGTTTCCAACTTCTTATTAAGACTTTGTAATGTGATCATGCAGTCTGTGATCCGGGTCTACTATAGGCTACTTACTAACACTGATTGCATTAATTGGGTCGTTTAAATTACGTGGATGCATTGATTTCGTCCAAATTATTTACCTGTCAGCGAGCTGACGCGGAGTGATCTGTTAGTGTCAGATCAGGTGAAGTTTCACTTTTTTCTAGTTGTGTCGCTCACCTGTGTGCAGCATGACAGTTCTGCTGAGGTGAATGTTTTTGTGTCCAAGTTGAAAATTAATCCAAATGTAATCTTTATGTCAAGAGTTCAGCTGGCTTTGTTTTCGTTTCGCGCAAAGCTGCAAACTTATGTGACTTAAATGTTCGACAGTGAAAAGGAGAGGACGACTGCAAGAAGCCTTCTTCATTTTGTTTTTATATGATTGGTCAATAGCTTTCAGATACACTACCGCCACCTGCTGATCTGGAGGATGAACTTCAAACTGTTTACTTTGTAAGAAAACTGATAAACTAAAATAGAGCAAATAATTATTATAATTTAAAAAAAGAAAAGAAAACAAGAGGCAGAATACTACGGTGGTCCTGAGGGGTCAACTGCATAAATATTTCATGATGATGAAAAAACGTCCAAACATTTAACTTGCTGCAAAAAATATTTCAACTTCTGTAAAAATAATAATACGCAGGCTAATGAAAATGCTTCTTCATTCGACTCTACAGAATAATGAGGACACTGTACTGTATAAAGTATAAACTTCACGTGCTTTGTCATCACACATCTGTCCACAGAAACAAGATGTATGTTTTCAAACGCATCTTCAAGACGCATGCCATTTTTGGTAGGGATACATTTCTCTGCATAACACCGGCTCTTTCGGCTCTTCATTTGGTACCAGTTTTGGCTTTATTATATCGAACAAATTTAGCAATGACAGCAGCATCTTACTCCGCCATTATATGTAGATTAATAGAATAGTACTTAAGGTAACTGTATGGCCTGCAAGTCCCAGAGTGTAAAAGTTGCAGGTAAAAATGTAAATGAATAAGTGACCACGATAAGAATGGTATTTGAAAGAACACCAGTTAGATGCGTAGATCTGAAGCTGAATCAAATAAGATATCTTGAGCAAAATGAAACTTAACCATTGTAACTAATTTGATAACACAACATGAAGTGATCGCAGGAAACAATAAATAGTCAGCTTCTCCAGGCGGATACAACACATTTATTTATCCGCAAGAAACATATGTGACTTTAAGCAAAACAAAATGCTCCAAGATGCGGTTTTGTCACTTAATGAAAAAGTCAAATTGGGACCAGGGTTCAGACTTCATCTATCAGAGCTTCAGTAATCACACCTTTCTGTGCAATATAAAACAAATGTGAAGCTCTTAGTGAACCTTTCCCCGCATAATGTTGTGATATGTAATGACCTTTTCATACATGATCTAATCAAAAAACTATTCAATTTTAAACCGTTTCTTTAAAAAACAGTTATGTAAATTATTTGATCCTCTGTTTCTGTATCTATAAGTTTGCTCTAGTCTCTGTAACGTCACAGCTCACATTAGCTCTGAAGAACTCCTGGATCTTCTTCCACAGGTGGACTTCAGCTGCTGCATGGGACCTGGGCTCACCCCCCCATAGGACTGGTTTACCCGCAAGGCTGTGAAAACTGGAGGGGCAGTACGGGCCATAAGGCGGCTCCAGGTAGTGCCCCGCTCGAGGGTAACACATGCTCTCAAAGTTGTCCTTCCCATGATGCTTCAGCCTCTCCACCATCTCCTCTGTGTAAGTCTTACTGTCCCAGTTCAAGTCGTCCTCTGACACCACAAAGAGGAAACGTCCCTTTGCTTTTTCGATGGGGATCAAGGTGGCCTTGTTCTCCTCCAGCAGTGGATCATTAGTAACATACTTGATATTGTAGGCTCCTGATTCAGAGGGAATCATCCTGCTTACGTCAAACATTAACGCAGGAAGTATCTGGCTCTTCTTGTAGTAAAGAGGTAACGCTGTGTTGGCAGAGCAGCCGTTGATCCACACTGTGGCTTCAACACCAGGCAGGTAAGAAGCTACTGAAAGTGCAAGATCTCCACTCTTTGAAAGTGATATCATACCGACTCCTTTACTGCCCACCTGTGGAAAAAAGAACAGACTTTTAGCTGCTTATTGCTTCTTAAAGATTTGTTATTTTGGGAATGTTGTTGTGAGTTTATTGTAGAGATAGGACAGTGGATAGAGTTGGAAATCATGGAGAGAAAGAGAGTGGAGAATGACATGCGGGGAAAGGAACTTGGCTTTTCTGGATAACTCTTGGAGTTTAGAAAATGAAAATGTGTCCCAAAAAGTGATTGGACTGTATTTTTCAAAAGCCCTCACCTTATTCTGCCTTTTCAAAAACTCTATTGATTCTTCAAAGTAATCCAGATGGACCTCCTTGATGTTCTTGGGCATGTCGTCGTGGCCGTACAGCGCCACAGTCAGAACAACAAATCCTCGACTAGCCAGCAGAGAGGCTCTCTTCTCTGACAAACCTCCACCAAAAGTGTACAGATCCAACACAGCGGGGAATGGACCGGCTCCTGGACCAGAAGACACAAGTTAAAAAAGTTTGTAACTTATATTTGATCCAAATGACTTTAAATACAGTCATGTGTTAAGATATGTTCACCAAGAATCAGAATGTTATGACCCCAGTGACCGGTGGATAGTTTGGTTCAGCGGTGACTTTGAAAAGCGTTTAAAATAAAAACATACACAATTACATAAATGACCGAAGGTGAGATTGTTGTAGTACTCGAAACTAGAGACCACTTTTTTCAAGGTCTCCGTCTCGTCTCGGAATCTAAATAATTTTTACCCGGTCTGGTCTCGGTCTCAGACGAGGTGGACTCGCCCCTTTCTAGAAG